GGATGACAACATTTAAGGCTTAATCTCGGAACATTTTTGCCCTGAACTTGAAACGTAAGAATACATATAGCATGTATGCGGTTGATTTGAAATTGATTCTTAATGAGATGAAGCTTATTTTGAGGGGTATTTCTATTATTACATTTAGGGCTCTAAATGTGCTGTAAGAAAGTCTATTTGGCGTGGTTTTGTATAAGACGGGCTATGGATCATATGCTACCTAAAATCGGACCATTAAAAATTGTCTTCGTTGTAAAAGGAGTCTGGATTCTTTTGTATTCGGACAATTATATTTACGTTGAAATTTGGATTTCAAAGGGGCAATTTAGAGAGAAATTAAAGGTGGAATTTATTATTGAATTTTTTAAATTTTTTAGATTTTTAATTTGATTGAATTAAAAGTACATATTCTGAGTTGGACATTAGAACAAATTTGGTGTCCAATACTAAAATATAATATATTCTCTTTAAATCTTAGATACCCTACTCCTAAATTATTACCAGAAACTATTTTGGACCAGTACACCAACTTTGGAGATCAACAAAATCTTGAGTTATATGTAATTTTTAAAAACTCATTATTATTATTTTTTTAAAGAGAAAAGAAGATAAAATGAAAAAAGAGAACTTGTAGTATAAAAACCCAAATTGAAAAGAAAGAAAAAAACAGGAGATAATTTTAAAATGCATGAAAGTTTTCTTCCCCAACATGCTAAAATAATTGGTATAAATGCTTGATTTGACTTACTAACATATCTTTTTCCTTAATATTAATAAAACATTTGTCTGGAATTTATATTATCACATAGAATAGGTAAAGTAATTCAGAAGTAGGTAGTCAAGTGTTTTCACTTGAAGCAGCGAAAATAGACCGGAAGTAAAAAAGTTACTTCACCGCAAGGAGGAAATGAAAGTAACCGTAAAACAAGTAGTACCATTCTTGAATCAATTTTTCATTGTAAATAGTAAAAATATAATTAGGAATAATTTTTAAAATTAATTAAGAGTAATTTTTAAAAATCATACATAAGACCTTGGCTCTCTTATCGTAAACAAAAAAATTAAATGGGTGACTTTTCTAAATTTTAAATAATAAAAAATGAGCCAAAGAAAAAGTTCATGGAATAAGTATGCCTTGCGAAAGGAATAACAAAGGATTATAATTATGAAAACCTTATTGCATCTATTCTTAAATTGTTCCTAGTCGATGCTTTATCAAGATAAGACAATGATAAAACCAAGAGACTGACACATGTTATGTTTCTTACTTAAAAGTAAGCAATGGATTTTATAGATTGAAGTATGGCATACTTAAGCAAACATGTAAGTGCTTGTTAAATGAACAAAGTCATTGAACATAACCCAACATGAGATTACATTTGATAGTTCACTGAAATGGAAATATATTCTTATGTGTCAAGTTCACTAATGATCCTTAGACTTGAGATCATCAAACTATCTTAGTTGAGTTATACTTTGATATTATCATATGTAGTCTTAGCCAAGGATGCACAATGAAGTGAATATGTGGCAAAGCATAAAGGACATGAAGATAAATGAATGTCAATAAAAGGGATTTCCCTTTTCTTCTTGGCATGCTTTAACTCTAAAAATCCTTAGCCAAAGTAGAATGAGGATTCCGGAAAAGAGGTTTTCAAATTTCATTAAGTAGTGGAGCACAGCTTCAAAAGCTAAAATGATAAAAACATATATAAAGTAGACATCTGAACCATCCTTTACCTTATCAGAATATTGTCTTGATTTCACTTATGAGTCACACAACTAAAATGCAAATTCAACCCTTTCCTAAATTTGTTGCTAAATATGTGCATTATTGTCTACACGAAAATACATCCAAGATCAATCACTTGCATAGTAGTCAAATTAAACTAAGTACACTAAATTAATCAAACAAAAGCAATAAAAACCTCAACATCAATACTTAACATACCAACGATTGCTATGAATAAAGTTAAAAGCTTTTGTGAACTAAAATCCACTCAACATTTCAATTTGACAAGGAAAGAATTGCTTTGTGTATTTTTCATTGATAATTATATCACAACTATTAAGAACACCTTTATTCCACTTTCCATTACATAGAGAGTCCTCATATTTAACTTAAATACGCATAAACTTTCAGCCTTGAATTCACTCTTATATGTTTAGCAATATCCTAACACTACATAATACACCATATAAAGCTAAAAAGCATAAGACCAACACAGCATTTAAAAGTCAATCTTTAAAAAAATAAAAACTCTCTAAAAAGAAGAAAATAACAAAATCAAAAAAGAGAGCAACATATTCAATAAGTATACAGAAATTCTTACGAACATCAATGCAAATAAAAAAAATTAAATAAACTGCCATGGCAGCCCGTCAGGAGGCTGCCACCTCTCTGCTGCCTAGAGCCACTCCCGGCTCTCTCTCCAACTTAGCCTAAAAGGCAAGATTATCCCCTCCCCTACTGTCCAAAAGATGGCCAATCGGATTCTATAAGCACCTCAAATCACAGTAGAAAGGGGGAACCAACAAAATTTTGAAACCAAATCTGAAAATCGTCCCATAACCATACAACCCCAAAATCCAGAAAAATCTTGCAAGTCATACCACAATTGCAGAAAACCGATGCTTCCAAAAAACCAAAAAAAAATAGAGATACCTATAACCCGAAAAAATAAAAACAAAAGGCCCTAGATCTAACAGCAAGAAACCATAAAAGCATCTTTGAAAACAAACCAAAAAGAGAGCCAAAGGCTCAAAGGCCTAGCCGAAGGTCAAGGCCTGTGAATACAACAACCACTAACAAAGGAGGTCAAGGCTCAAAGGCCTAGCCGAAGGTCAAGTCCAAATTATTGTAACCCAATGAAATTGATTAAAATTATAAACCAATGAAATTATAAATATATAAATATATTAAATTAAAAGAAAAAGAAAGAAAGGGGAAAAGGAAAACAATATACATGAATGGAGGACAGATCCAATTTGGAACGCTGAATTAGAAGAAGAATAGAGCCCTAATCTTGCTTATCGTTTCACTCAATTTAATGGAAAACAATAAAAAAATCTCTGAAAATCAAAATTAAACAAAAAAGATGGTGATGAGAGCATGGTTTTACCTTCCAAAGCAGCGAAACTCGTGAGAGAGAGGGGACCGGACCAAACAGGAAGCTCGTGAGAGATAAAGGAAGACGGCTGTTAAGGGCGAAGAAAGAGAGGAAAGGTACGGAGCGAGCGGCGCCGGTGAAGGCCAAAAAGGAGGGCTGAAATGATAGTTCAGAGAGAAAAGAGGGAAAAGAAGACGGCTGCGACGGGCCACGAGAGAGAAGAAGAATAAGAAAAAGGAAGGCGGAAATGGAAATGGAAATGGAAAAGGAAAAAGAGTGGCGAAGAACTGTGGAAGACAAGCGCAACCGGTAACGCCGGTTGATGTAGAAAAGAGGAAGAAATTTGGGTTTGGCTTTATGATTGCCATCTTATCCTGGTACTAAATATAGACAAATTTATCTTGAGCCAAGCCGGTTTAGAATTTACTGACCGGTTTTAGCCAGATGGGAAAGCTGATATAAATCTTGTGTTTTGCGTTTTTGGTCATTTCCTTGGTATTCAGCGATTATTGAAATTTCTTTTTTGTGATTTTTATGATTTGTAGTCTCAAACTTTCTGAAATATTTTAAGATGAAAATAACCCGTGAACCCTATTACTCATTTCAAGTTGCTTTACTACTATTCGTATGAAGTGATTATTTCACGTAAAGTAGTTCTTCCCTTATTCTAATTGTTTTGTATGAAGTATAATTTCACTTATTCTAATTGTTTTGCTTAAAGTAAAATTTTATTTGTAATGATTGTTTTTTTATTCTTTATACAATGTTACACAATAAAATAATTTTTTAATAAATAAATATTAACCAAAATCAATTATGTACATAATATTTCTTCAAAGAGAGCTTTGAACGTTTACCATTGACTAGATAGTCACGGCTTGCAATCCAAACCAGGGCGCAGTCATCAGTATAGCATGGTTTGTTGAACCATATGGCAAAGCAAGAAGCGTTCTAGCCAATGGGGTGAAACCCAAGTTCCATCTGATGAAGTTAAAACATGCTGTTTAGTTTCCGTTGACAGTGATAAGCCGTCACCTAGATTATCCGAGGATGAAGATGAAAACCAACAGCAACGGATCAAAGATAAAAAGAGTATGAGAAGGGGCCTGGCGTATCCGAGTAAAAGTAAATTCCACCCACCCAAGGTTACCTAAATTAGTCAAGGTTGACAAGCAAATTGATCTACGATCCACTTTTATCAAGAAACCAGGATTTAAACAAAAAGGATGCTTAAACGCGAAAAGGGGTAGCCGCTATTTTTTGTCAAATTTTTTGAAACAAGGATGCGAGTGACATCGATGGAACGAATTACAGGTACCGGCCATTTTAGAATATGATGGCAAACGGAAGCCGTCGCCCTACCCCACATATTAAAACCGCTTATCGATTACATTATCACCGTATTTAATAAGATTCCAATTTGGTTTCTCCTTTACTATATATACTATAGGGTATCTGGAATATAATTATTGCGTTGCATCCTCAAACTGAACTAGTTCAGAGCAAAGCGGAGAGGTCGGCCAGTGAGAGTAAGAGAAGAAAAGAAATCAAGTTAAAAACTAAATCTAAGCCGAAAGAAAAAAAGAATAAAACGAAAAAAAGAAAGTGGAGCTGTGGAGGCAACTGCGACCTTTGTGGCCTAAAATCTAAAGCAAAGCCCATTTCTGCCCCATACTGTATATAACCAAGAAACTGATTATTTATTTTACATGCTCAACTTTTTTCCAATACATATCTTTATAACTGCAAAATTTTTTACCCAAAAGAAAAAAAAAACTAGAAGCAAAGTCTAAACCTTGCCTGACTTAACACCCCTTTATGTTCTCACCATCTTTACCAAAAATAGGAACAACATACCACTGGTTCAACTTTCTGAATGAATCACATATATGATGCTGAAACTTCAGCGTTTCTCAGCATTAAATGATCCACTTTTTTATTATTGAAATAATATTAAAAGTATCATTCCCAAGAGAAAACCTCTCTTAACGGTGGGAAAACAAATCATCTCCAAACACTAGATAAATTTCTGTTTTTTTCGTATGTGCTAATTTGGAACAGCAGGCAGTTACAAGCATGGTTGAGAGATATAAGTGTTCGGCTAGCAGTGCGAAGTGTTTTACTTACCATGGTTGAACTTACAAGGTTACAAGCTCCCAATCCTCCTTGGACATATCAAGAAATTCAACAACACCATCTTCAAACATGACCTGCAACAATATACATGGACTCACATATGAGCATGATATGTTATAAGAAAAAAAAAAGACAAGAATTTCTTACAGAGTGCTTATTCGAATACTTGTCAAATCGTTTAATAATCCCAAAGGACCTGGAAAATTTGAGTCAGGAGAATGAAATATAAAACAATATGTATAAACAGATACTATCAGGATCAGGACCTATGACACTTAACTACAGAAAAAGAAGCAAGAAATGAAAAACAATTATATGCAACACAAGCAATTCAGCCAGAATACTTCATGATACAGTCAAAGAAGCAATCTACAACTCTATTACTACCAGAGAGGAGCAAATCAAAGACGGTTTGAGTTTTGTTTTTAATCAACACACTGCACTAACAAGACGCTATATCAAAATCTTGAAGAACTAGTCCAGGTATTTTAGAACCCTAACAAAATCCCTTGTGCATGTTACATGAAGAACAATGTTGAACAAAAACATAGGAAATCCAATTGATAATGCCATGAGTAAATAATTAATATAACTAACCAAACATAGGGGGGGGGGGAGGGGAATGTTAACTTTTACTGTAAGAAAAAAACCAAAAGTACCGTAAATAAAAAGAGAAGAGTGAGGGCAAAAACATCCAATAAGAATCAACCAACCAAAAATCTTCAAATATACAAGTTGCAAATATTTGACTTTCATTACTGTATCATCATTTATTCATTTTGATAACCCTAAACCAGTGAGGAACTACTTTCCTAAGAAAAAAAATTGAGAACACACTGCAGATGCTTCATACATTTGCTGCCCACAAGCATTTAAAATACCTAAATCTAACTCGAGATAAAAAACAGTAAAATGAAAGCCCTAGAAAAAAGAAATCTTTCATAAGTACCTGTCATTTATCGAACGAGATATTTTTATCACTTCACCAATGCACCATCGAGAGTGTATCTGTCGTCGATTATGAGCATGCCGAGAACTTCCTGAAATTAAGTTCCAGCTTCAAACATTTGATCCACTTGAATTTACACATTTACTATAAAAACAAAATAAAGGACAATTAACTTACCAACAGGCAAACCTCCATTCTGGTTTACCTAATAAACAAAAATTGAACAATTAGTTCAAGTTTTCACCAAAATCTACAATATACTTATCATAGAGAAAAAAGTAAGAAAGAAATCATGTTGCAGAAATGTTGAGTGGTAATTGAATATCACAGAGTTTGTACATGCTTATAGCATGGACATGAAAAGCAATAAATAACAAAGATATTATGGAGGGAGGGAGGGAAGGAGTGAACAGATAAGCGAAGCGAAAAAACCTTCCAAGTTCATTTTGGGAATGCAGAGCTCTGGCTCAACTATCAATTTATCAACTTATAGAAACTCCAGGAAATGATACTGCCATTGTTAAAAGAGAAATATATACCAACTTTTTGAAAAATTTAAGACAATTAAATAGCCTGAGCCAGACTCCAATCCTGAACTAGAATTATGGAATGGACTTTAAACTAAATAATTCAAACAGCCTCTTATTACATACATCTTTTCCAGATAGCACAGCCTTCAATTTTGGAGAGGACACTGCCACCTGGCATGCTACTAGCTTTAATGCAGCATCTGATGACATCTTTGGCTTGCTAGGTTTGACCCCCAGCTTTTGCCTGCAGCCAGCCGCACCACAGTGACAATCTTGATCTGCACCAAATTGAACAAACCTGCTAAATTTGTTAGATTGTACTAAGGATACAAGTTTTAAAGGAACCAACCAGTGGCTTCAGCATTTCATATGGCAAAGGCTCAATTGAAAACATCAGTTTTTATTACAAACAAAACATGCCACAAACATAATTTTTTGCATATATTACAAAGTCACACTAGTACTCATACTGATAGTCATAGGTCAGATGCTCGCCCTTTTTTATGTCCCGCATCGCAAATATGCCAATCCTTGTTTCACCATCAATAATCCTAAGAAAGGTATAATAAACAAAAATATGTAAGATAAGTATATCAGTTAATATTAACACAAGAACAATAACAAGGGTAGGTAGAGAACCATTTCTGCATCTCAGTATTGGGGCAGCAACTATGGTTTATATATCTGGATTTGTTCCCCTTGTATGTGGCATCAATTACCATATCACGATTGATTTCACATAAGTAGAAGTTGGTTTCTCCACGATGCTTCATGTTCCAAAGCCTCTCCTCACATGTTTTGTCGTCAATAACTACATTGAGAAAAGATTATTCGAAATTTTGCAAGCATATCAAAAAGGATGCTACAGAGAATAGGGAGATCAACTTCAGTTGAGAGGGCAACAGTTATGTACCTTCCCCCACATATTCTATTACAAACTCTCCATGCTTAATATCTTCATCTGCCACAATGCCCGCCCCACATTTCTCGGTCTACAAGTATTGCCTTGTTTAACTTCACATTTCAAGCATACATACAACTAAAAACCACGAAAAGTGAATGGTATCTAACAAAATGCACAATTTGTCTTTTGGAACATGGACACAATAAAGAGACAACTTCCGAAACACTTATAAAAAACAAAAAGAATAATCTACAATAGCAGGATCCAAAATGAGGAAAATGAGGTCAACAGAATCTTTTCAGAAGAATAATCAAATTTACAGGGCAGGGGATCAACTTTCTTAACTGAATTGCTCTTTTGTCTATATTTCTACAGATACTAAAGGGTTTCAACACTTGCAATAAAGAAAAGTCTGTTACTCCCATTAGACAACAGGAAGGATGTTGGTCCGAAGAAGACTTGAACATAATACAGATTTACTCAGGATAATATATAAAGAAGTTAAACAACTCTACCTGAACTAATTTCATTTTCTTGACAGGTTGATGTTGGAATGGCTTGTTGAGGCATGAGCTCCCACAGCTGCAGCCAGAGGAGCAACTAGACAATAGCATCCTGCATGAAGCAATAAAATCACATACACAACTCCATACTGCATGTATAGAGTGAGCACATATGCCAAAATAGAATGCATAACAAATTACCAAATGGCATGTTATGCCTCTACCTACATGACATTCTGTTTGATTTGGCAACTTCAATTAGTTTATCTAAAGCTCCAATAAGCACAACAATGGATAACAATGACATCATATTTTTTGCACTGTTATTCTTAACAGAAGTTTGAGACAAGTTTATTGAGGTGCTAAACAGCTACAATCATACAAAAACATATACTAGTTAAACCAAATACCAGCCATTCAGATGCCAACTTTATAGTCAAATAAAACAAGATGATCACTATCAAATAATAACATGTTCAGAAAACAGCTCAAAAATTTACTGTTATTAGTTAGGTAACTCAAAGTCGAAATTAAATTAGACTTAATTGCAAAGAAGTTTTGAACTTCAATGTTTTAATTGAAAGAGTTCAATCAAATTAAAGCAATTTTAATAATAGCATAAATGTTACTTAAACCTACAAGGGTTAAGAGTTGCCCACAAATATATTGCTTGTGCTACATATGAGAATAACACAACACACTTGACAGGCAAGCAAGATAAGAAAAGAGAGAAAACAGCATTCGGCCTATACCCAAAACCCTGGATTTCGGCACCCTACTCCAAACTCTATGAATTGACAACTTCTTGCCCTCCTTTTCTTTGAGCTTTGGAACTCCCTTGGGAAGTGTGAAAACCAAATAGCCTTTCACCCTAGCTAGCACTAGTTAATGTTTGCAAGGCATCCTTGTGGATCACCATTGGAGGCTAGAAAATTGAACAGCTAATGTTTGCAACAACACAAGCTTGGTCCAAATAAGATTATGATACTCAAGGTATTGTGACCTAGTAATTTTTGACATTAAAGGTTCAAAGGTATAACAATCTTCTTCCTCTTAGTTAGGATTTTCTATCTTAAACAACCAAAGATTGATCTCGCTAATGAGAAGTTTTAAATTTTTGTCACATTTTGTAATATTGAATACATAACTTTCTTAACACTTCTAATAATAATTTTTTTGCAGCAGTTATCATGTACTGACTTAGTATTTGGGCCCAATTATAACATACCATTCAAGGCTCAAAAGTAAACTCACTTCAATAAATTTAGGATAAATCAAAGTAATATGTGAGCAACCCAAAAAAGAATTAAACTTATTCACACTCTAAAATCTAATAATTCATCATATATAATGTAGACCAACTGTGAATAGGGATCAATCAAGATGAATCTTACCCACAGTGGCAATCTCTACCACACACAGAAGAACCTGGTGATGAAGTGCAAGAACAGAAAATGCCATCATCCTCAAGACGCCTTTTAATCTTCTTTGTGAGGTATATATCTTAATTTGTTAAACCAACAAAATAAAAAAATACAGACAGAAACACTCGAGGCAAATCAAATCT